ATTCTATCGGCTTTTATTGTAGTCCCAGTTTAAAGTGGTTTTTATGACAAGATAATAAACATTATCACCACGTTATTACCTCACGACGGACAATTTGAGTTAAATAACAAAGTACGGCCTTGCAAAGAAACCGACCACGTTCTTATTTATAGCTAGGGATTGACTTAATTGTCCCCATCGTCAACTTCGACGCAATGGACCTATCATAAAAACCACTTTAAACTGGGAAGACTATATCTAGAAAGTCGAAATTTCATTAATCATATAGCAAATATTTTCCTGAGCTTCAAATAACTAGGAAAGGTTTGTGTTTTATGGTAGTTTGGAGAAACCACTGGGTATTAAACCATCTTTCCAGGTAAATTCGCGCCCTCATTACTTTTGGAATTACGTTCATTCCCAATATTTTTGTTCGTGTATTAATGGTATGTTTTGTGGTGGTCAAAGGGGCTTATCGTATTATTTTTCATCGTGAGTTTGCATGGAAAGCATTTAAAGCGATATAGGTGTGTCAACATGTCGAAGATAAATCAAATTAATTTATGAATTAAACCTTTTCTTGAACTTATTCTTCAACAAGGAACTGTGATTTGTCGCGCCTACTCTAAACCGGTAAGTATTTTTACGTCTGTGGACGTAGTAGGTACGCAGTTTTTCTGTTTACAAATACATACTTTAGAATCACTTTTTGTTAGAATATTTCGAAAAATATTTAAAAATAAATTGTTACCAAAATAGTAATGAAATAGTCGATTACTACTATCTTTTGATTTGTTTTGTTTATATTTATTTTTTAGTATAAGAATATTATCTTTAAAAATGTGATTTATGTATTTTTTGTAATAAAACGTAAGCTCGGGAAACCTGTTTTTGTAATTTGTAAATCAATTTAATTCGCTTATTAAGCTTTTTTTTTAATTTTTAGAGCATATGCAACTGCATATCTTTGCATATGTTAAGAAAGTAACTGCATGTTTCCATAAATTTGGTGCATATCATATGATCATATTTCCCAAAATTTTGCTGCATATTTTCCGCTCTCTAGTTATGATATTCCACATAGATTTAGCTTTATTACTTGATTTTTCAATACGTTTATCGTTGATTCGTTTTTGTCAGTCACTATGGATTCCTTATAAAGCCTGCGATATTCATTTCGTCCTTTCAGTGAATCAGGAGTTCTCTGTAAATTATATAACACATTCAAAAACGCAAGATGTTCACGCTTTTTTTTAACTGGTCGGTGAACCATGCTACGTCACGACCATCTTTTTTGTTTTTGAATGTGACTTCAGTAAATGGAATATGTTATAAACTCTTAAAAATCATTGCGAAGTCGGTGTCATCTAATGGTCAGTTATTGAAAATATTTACTAGTAAATATCCAATAGATCTGTAAAAATTTATTCCGCCTATACAGAAATAAGTTTTGACACATTTTCTATACTACAAGTTGTACTAAAAAATCAATGTCACAGCTAGAATACCGCCAGGGTAGGCAGATCCTGAGCCTGCAATCAAATTCCGAAGGAACATATGATTTTTTCAGAACAAAGACAAAACTAAGATTTTTGTCATATCTAGTAAATCTGTTAAGTTACTTAACTTTAAACTCGCTTATAAAGGGGGCGTGCGACTAATTATATCATAGTAATATTTCATAGGAGTATTTTGTAGATATTAAAACTTGACACATACGAAACTTAACGGCTATTTTGATTTATATATGTCATTTCAAACGTTTCAATTTAAGTTGTACAAAGACCAACCTGTTTCTGATAACTTCTGAGAGGTTTAATTTCTCCTAATTTTACCGATTGCTAAATTATAACTTAAAATTATAAAAACGAAAAGTAAATAGTTTCAGTTCCTACTGACTGGAAATAATCATTATATATAATAAATGAATTAAATTATAAATAAATGGTGTAACGGAACTTAGTTTTGATTAAAAAAGAAGAGTGGGCTGATTAGAAAAAGATTGACACATAGAAAATAGTATCTGAATGTTTAAATTTGTTGATGTTTTGTACATTTAAATAAATGAATCATATTATATTTGGCGCCCAACGTGGGGCTCGAAGCATCCCATTGTACAGTCGCGGTTAATTGTGTGCAAAATTCCATGATGCCGCCGAAACTTAATATTCCAGCTTCAGTTACTCTATCGGCTGACCAATTTAAACAACTACTATCGACAATTAAGGAGCAAGCTGCAACTACACAACAGTCCGAGGCACGACGAAGCGTATCACCAACTTCTTACACTCGATCTGCAGGTAGTTTTGCTAAATGTAGTGCCAGATTTAATGGGTCAGATGACGCCGATGTAGAAGCTTTTCTAGACAACATCATAACATATAAACACTGCACCAATATCAGTGACGAAAATGCACTGCGTGGTCTTTCAATGTTGCTTCAGTCTAGTGCTGCTACTTGGTGGCAAGGAATCAAACCATCGACGAAAGACTGGCAGAGTGCAGTAAATATCCTCAGAGAAGTGTACTCGAAGAAATTAGCCCCTCATGCAGTCTTCCGCTCAATTGCCATATAGTGTCGCAGAAGAAATGCAGCTGGATATATTTTATGGACTTTTAGCTCTGAAGATTCGAAAGAGGCTTACGCGTAGTGAAATAAACTCTTTCAAAGATTTGCTTAATTGTGCTCGCGAAATAGAACAATCGTTTCGTGAATCCTCGTTTCGCAAACAAGAAAGAAACACAAACCAGGACGGAATGCAAATAAAGAATGGGTGTCGCCAAGTGGAAAAAGAAAACAATGATAAAGAACTGTCAAAGTCAACATCAGCAAGATCAAAACCTGAGTGTTATGGCTATGGTACTCCTGGCTACTATAGATGGAACTGCCCGAAATGCAAAGAAAAAGCAGACGTCAAAACTAACTTCTTTGAATTTTCACGGCTATCTTTAGAAAATGAATCAAGCTGCGACGCTCCAATCCTACTCTAGAAGTGAAAGGTGCAAAAGGAATTAGACTCGCCGATTCAGGATCAAAATGGAACATAGCTGGTCACACCCTCTATAAGGTGTTACAAGATAAGGGAGTTAAGTTTGAAACAATGGAGGCAGTGGTAACATTAGCTGACGGAATTCCTAGAGATAAGAAACTACTGTACAATGTAGACGTTAAGATAAAAGACAAAATAACTCCAACTAGTTTTGTTATAATGCCGTATTTAACCCAGAACCATACGCTCTTAGGGCGGGAATTCTTGAAGAAGGCTAACATTGGTATAGATTTCCAAAACGAGTGTTGTTTTTTTAGAAATAAACCAGAACATACTTTCAAATATGGAATTAAAACAAACTCCGTAAACATTAATCCCATAACCCTACGCCAAAATGAAGCTCAAAAGATTCAAGACAAGGCAAAAGATGAAATAAACACCCTACTTCAGAAGAATAGCACCATCTTCGAACAAGGGGGAGAAACTATGTTTGTTACGCATCGAATTAACACACAAAATGCTGTACCAATCTCCGTACCACCGTACCCGCTGAACGGACCAAAGAAGCAATTTCTGCGTGAAGAATTGAATCGATTAGTAACACAAGGAATTATAGAAGAGTTCGAGTCACCATGGTCCAGCCCTGTGGTTTTAACTCCAAAAGGAGACAGCTATCGTCATTGCATTGATTATCGTAAACTAAACTCAGTAACGGCATGGCCGACTTCATTAATATACACTAACGTGTATATACGGCCGTTTCAATTTTTTAAAAATTTGTTCCCGCGTAGTAATCCATGGGTACATAAGCATACGCCACCCACGGCAATGTCTTGAACTAAACTGTCACTACTGTCAGAAATTTTCTTTGACAATTTTCAAATCCAAAATAATTTTGGGCATGAATTATTATCGTTGTTAATAAAACTAGGTCTTTTTAATATGGGAAGAAAGTGTATGATTTGTTGTAATACACAAAATCCACTTTTTGGAATTCCTGCGGAAGTAGATCTTAGAAACAAATGGTTTGAATCACTTTCAAAATTTTGTGGTATTTCATAAAACAAGTTCCTCAAAAAATATTTTATTCGAATTATTTTAGATCTGACCAAGATAAACGATCATACTGTTGTGTGTTCCAAACATTTTGCAACAGAATGTATTGTTAGAAGCGCAAAAAGTACTCGTCTTAATAAACAAGCGGTTCCGTTTATATTCGTATGTACATAAAAATCTACGTACCTCACATAATCTATAAATCTTTGTCATCATTCCAGAATCCTACTGATCCTGACATTTCTAGTACCCAACCAACAAATACTTTTTTAGAAGACACTTATCCAACTTCCGTTTCCTCATTCCAAAATGCTAATAAGGAAACTAATGTTTCCACATGTGATGATTTAAGTGCAAAGGATAAACAAGAACTTAAAGATCTCAGGTACCACAACAAAGTTTTAAAGCAACAATTGAGTAGAATGAAACGAAAGAATTCTGAATGTTTATCAAAAATGAGAGAGTTAGAAGAAAAAGTAAAAAATTTGGATGCTTTAAAAATAACCAAAATTATAGAAGACGCAAACAACGCAGATGAAAAGTCAATATTTCTTTTGGACTTGATAAAAAATCACTATAAAAAAATACCTAGGTGGTCAGAAATGTCTCTTCGTCTGTGTACTGTCTGGAGATTTTGTTCGCCTAAAGGTTACAGATTTTGCCACAATAACTTACTAAAACTGCCTTCAAAATCGACTATATCCAGATTTCTTGGACACTATCATGGTCAAAATAAGCTGATCCAAGAGCGATTGTGTGCAGAAATTGGTCAATTAAAAAAGCCAGTTGAAATCTGCTCCTTAATAATGGACGACATGTCCATAAAAGAAAAATTCATTACTGTAGGGCAGAAGATCGAATTTATGGCCTAGAGACAACAAGTTCTACTCGTGTTGGAACTAAGCCAAAAGTAGCCAACAAGATGCTTTGTTTTGTGGTGCAGGGATTGAGTACTAGATATACAATACCAGCAGGATATTTTTTCCACTCGTCGTTAACAACTCAGGAATTATATTTATTAACAAAAAACATTTTACAACTTCTGACAAACTGCGGCTACATTGTGATTAGATTTGTTACAGACAATATTTCAACAAATGTCGCCCTCTTTAAAAAATTTGGAAACGGATCACTGAAAAATTCCATTGATCATCCCATTCTGGAACATATTCCACTATTTTTGAGTTTCGATTTCTGCCATGCTCTAAAAAATGCACGAAATTTGTTTTTAGACCATGATATGTATTCTTCTCAAGGCAAAATTTCATCATGTTGCCTCAAATTATTGTATGATTTGCAGAAAGGAATGCCAGTAAAGCCTGTCAGATATTTAACAAAGAAGCATCTATTTCCATCAAACTTTGAAAAAATGAATGTCCTAAGAGCAATCCAAGTTTTTTCACCTACTGTAACCTCTTCTTTAAAATTTCTAAAAGCTGCAGGGGACGATCGCTTTGTAGACGCTGATGCCTCTATATTCTATATGGAAAACATGTACCACTTTTTTCAGGTGCATAATGTTTCAAGCAGAGATCACTATCTTCGTTCACTAGATAGCAGTATTGCACCATATGTGCATATTTCAGACGCACGTCTTGACTGGTTAAATGTCACATTTCCAAAGTATATTGACGATATCCAGAAGACTTCTGTAGATGTTGGATTTAAAGGTCTTACTAAGGAAACAGCTCATGCGTTACAATTCACGGCAAAAAGCACATACCTCTGTGTAAAATTTTTGCTAAGCCAGGTTGGCTTCTATTATGTTGTAACGCGATCCTTCAGCTCAGACGCTGTAGAGGCCATGTTTTCACATGTAAGACTGAAAGGTGGTTCTAATGATGCCACAGATGCCAGAGCTGCAGATTATGCATTAAGGCAAATTCTTCGTTGTGGGATTGTTAAAGCTTCCCATTCCTCAAACACTGCTGAAAATGTTAACTATATTAGTCCTGCAAATATTTTAAATTTACAAGAAAACAGAGAGAGCTTTATTAAGCACACAGAACAACTCATATTTCCAATTGAAGTACGAAGAAATATTCACAATCTTAAGAAGTGCATCATACCTGATAATAATATTTTCTCGGCATCAGTAGCTTTCTTGGCAGGATACATCATAAAAAAATTAGAAGATTTATTTCATTGTGATGAATGTTTAACACCTCTATTATGTACTAGCATTCCAGGTCCTTTGCTACAATTGATTGCCATTCAAAACCGAGGAGGTTTAGTCTATCCCAAAGATATCTTTGTTGGTATTATTCAGCAGATAGCTGAAAGCATCCAGCAAATGTTGCCATTTCTACAACATGATAATCCTGGTAAATACATACTTGAAGAACTGTATCCACACCTTGTGCAAAATCCCATTTTTGTCTGTGCAAATCACAGGGATTCTGTGTGCAAATATATAATCAAAACGACTGTAAAGCCAGTTCTCAGCAATCTTTGCTTGGAGACCACAGATTCTGTCAAGAGATTTGCATTAAATTTTAAACCTAAAAGTCGAAAAGTATTGAAATTGTAACTTTACGTTAATATTATTGTTTTACTTACTGTGTTTTGTGATAAAATTAAAAAAAAAACATTATTATCTGAACCAAACTGCTTTTTTTATGCTTCGAGTAAAATTTGTTGTCAATGTCAGTTTCAACTTGACAATTAATTTGACAGAAATAGCACGAGATCTGTCGTGTGAGGGCGCCACAATATGCACTAGGCGGCGGAACATTTTTTCTAATGGAAAATCAAAAATTGAAACGGCCGTATATACACGTTAGTGTATATTAATGAAGTCGGCCATGGTAACGGTAAGCGATAGTTATCCAATGCCGCGAATAGACGATATTCTTCACACAGCTAAACATACACCATTCATGTCTACAATTGATTTACAAGCAAGTTCCTGTTGCTGAAGAAGATCGTGACAAAACTTGCTTTGTGACTCCATTTGGGACGTTTAAATTCAATCGAATGCCTTTCGGGTTGAAAAACGCGCCCGCTACATTCGTTCGATTGACGGACAGATTTAGACACTGCAGTGTTCGTATATATAGACGACATCTTGGTACTTTCAGAAACCTTTGAGAAGCACATAATAGACTTACAAACAGTGTTTCGCGTTTAAAACTTTTTGGTCTTCGTGCTAGACGTGAGAAGTGCTCGTTCTTCTGTGACTCGGTCAAATTTCTCGGACATATACTGACCAGTGATGAAATTAAAACTAACCCTGACAAAATAGCTACTATCAAACTGTTGAGACCTCCAAGCAATCGCAAACAGCTGCAAAGTTTCATTCAGATATGTAGTTAGTATCGCAAGTTTGTTTCAGAGTTTTCCAAAATAGCACGTCCCTTAACTAATCTTCTTAAGAAAAATGCGTCTTTCCAATTTGGTGAAACCGAATTAAGAGCCTTCGAGACGTTAAAAGAAAGATTGAGTACCGCTCCAGTCCTTCCTCAAGCCGACCAGACCAAGCCCTATATCCTTAGAACAGATGTAAGTTGTTACGCCTTGGGTGCAGTTCTACTCCAGGGAGAGAAATACGACGAACATCCAATAGAATACGCCAGTCGCTTGTTAAAGGACAGCGAGAAAAATTATTCAACTACCGAAAGAGAGGCGCTTGCCGTAGTATGGGCTGTAGAAATATTCCGACATTATCTAGAAGGTGCGAAAGTGGTTATAGCGTCGGATCATTACCATTACGGTGGTTGCTGACTTTAAAATCGCCTTCGGGTCGTTTGGCCCGTTGGGCGCTCCGCCTTCAAGGCATGAATATGAACGTTGTATATACTCCTGGTAAAATCAACATAGTAGCTGATCTGTTGTCTCGACCTTTTTGCTCGGATGAAGAAGAAAAGGTGCAGAGCTACTTCGTTAGTGTTGATCTACCGTCATACGATGCTAAATCTATGCGACAGAAACAAATGGAAGATGATGAGATCAAGATTATTATATTATCTCTCGAAGGTGAAGATCCGTTAGAGATGTCTAGATGGTCTGGGAGGGGATACGTGATGAACAATGATGTTCCCTTCCGTTTCAACCTATATGTGGACTCTGAAGATTAAGTTAGTGATTCCCAAAGAATTGCGTGAAGATGTTTTGGCCCAATACCATAATTCTCCTACAGGGGGACACTACGGCATCGAAAGAACCCTTCAAAAGATCTCTTCAAAATTTTACTTCACAGATATGAGAAAATATATTGCTGGCTATGTAAAAGGTTGTATGGAACGCCAGAGATATAAACCAGAGAATCGCCAACCTGCGGGCCTACTTCAAACCCCAGACTCTTCCCAGAGATTCGAAGTTGTGGCTGTAGATTTATTTGGCCGTCTAGCGGCAACTCCCAGGGGGAATCGATGGATCCTAATATTAAATTGATGAACTTTTCCCATTAGTAAAATCTGACTCTGAATCTTGTGCAAAAATTCTCATCGAAGAAATATTCCTGCGGTTTGGAACTCCGAGGAAAATGATTTGTGATAACGGCGTACAATTTATCAGTGATGTAATGCAGCAAATTACTTATTGTTTTGGTATCACAACGTTCATTCCTTTGAATCATGCAGAGAGTAACCCTGTTTAACGGAAGAACCGCGAACTGAAGACTCAGTTAGCCATTCAAGATAACCACTCAGAATGGGATCATCACCTGAGCAGCATTCGATTCGCCATAAATTCTACATGTTGCGACTCTACGGGATATAGTCCTTCGTTTCTCACATTTGGTGGGGAGATACGAGCTCCTTATGATCCTGTATATGATCTACGCAAAGTGATTGATGCAGAAAATTTCATACCAAGAATAACTCCTTACTTAAAGAAGCTAGCTACTACTCTGTCTGAGGCAATGGATAGAAATTGCAAGAAACAAGATGTCCAGAAAACTCACCTAGATTCCAGACGACGACTAGCTGTATTCAAGAAGGGTGACAATCTCATACTCTCAGTAGCTCCAAAAGTGGATTCTCTTCAAACTTGCCCCAAAAAGGGATGGTCCTTATATGATCTTGCGAATTGCTTCTCCTACAACCTACGAGTTAGGAAGCTGTACAAATCCTCCAAAAAGAATTGGACGCTATCACGCCGCGGACCTCAGCCCGTTTGTTGAAGGGACTGGAAGTGATTCATTAACGCCCTTAATACCAAAACGGAGGAGGGGTCGTCCTAAAAATAATGTTTCATCCTAAACAACGGAACTTACTTTTTATTAAAAAAGAAGAGTGAGCTGATTAGAAAAAGATTGACAGATAGAAAATAGTATCTGAATGTTTAATTTTGTTGATGTTTTGTACATTTAAATAAATGAATCATATTATAATAGTTATTTTTAGTAATGGTTGTAAACGAATATACCTAATGATAATTAAATAATAAGTATAGCGCATATATATTTAATATTATGGCACAATTATAGCTGAATATGTGCTCCATCTTGCAGCCAATAAAAACGAAACTGGTAATACTGCAACGCCTAAGGACGAAATAATTAACAGTCTGTTCTGAAAAACAAATATTAAACTTTTTTAATCGTTATATAACTAGTTAGAGGTATGTCCATTCTCTATTTATTTCCCGTATTTGCAATTTTGACATCATATGCCAAAAGAAATTCCCTTTTTGCCAAAATTCTTTCTATTTATCGCAAATGCTTTAACTTTGTTCTAATAAATATTTTTTATTTTAGATACAGGACCCAAGCATAAGGAACACATTTTACTTGAGAAAATATTACTTACATAATAAATATGTCTACATCTATAACCATGGAGCGTACCAAATTAACTTAATACAAAATTTTATTTCGTCATATCCTTTAGTGAAGGTAGGTGCAAACTTAGATCATATAATAAATAGATACCAATACTCAAACTGAAAGCTGTGACTAGACATGAAGCTATCTGTTGTCGTTTTCTACGTCAAGGGGAGTATTATAATGCTATCCTTGTGTGATCACCACATCTTCATCTTTGTTATATGCATTTCATCTGTATATGTCTATTTCACTTCCATCCTGGTACCGCACCAGCGCAACAAATCGCTTTTGACAGATGTTTCTTCTAACCTCTGTTTCGAGTTCTTGTACGAAAAACAATTTTAGAATTTAGAACAAAGATTCTATTTTAAGTGATGTAATCATAAAGGATCACAATTGCTGCCCAATAATTTACTATTCCTTTCGTTATCTACTGTGAATTATTTATAAAATCAAGCTGTCAACATCTTTCGTACGAAATTAGTTCAGACATACATCCTAAAATTTAGGCGCGCAAAATTCAAATAGTGATCAGGCAAGGATAGCTTCATTGTAATTAGGGATGTACCGACTAGTGGCCGACCGGTCGGATAAGCCGACTATTTGGCCGTTTTTCATCGTCGACTGCAGTCGGCGACTAGTCGGCTAAACAGCCGATCGGTCGGCTTTTTTTATTAAAATTAAAATAGTATATAAAACAATTAAACCCGGTTTACAGAATCTCAATTAAATATTTAATTGCGATTTAATTTTTAACCCCGCGTTAAAGTACCATGTGACCGACTCTACGCCAATCAGACGTCGCTAATGGCCTTGCTAAATGCGCGATCAACTTAATCTCAGTTAAAATATTGTATAAACTGGCCCTAAATTGTGTTATTCTTTATTTTTGTACTGAGTTACTAAAAAAAATTAAATGTTAAAATTATCCAAACAAATTTAACACATTTTTTGGAAAACAAAGGAACTTTAGTTATTCCTTTTATTAAAATTGAACAAATCTTCAAGGTAGTCAGAGAAATAGAAAAAAAAACACACTGTTTGTCGCATTTATAAACCGGTTTTAGCAAAGCCGAACAGCCGGCCGACTAGTCGGTTTTTACTGGCCGAACAATCGGCTAGTCGGTTAGTCGGCCAGACCTACAGTCGGTACATCTCTAATTGTAATCCCTCTATGCAGAAGAGAGATGTGTGACAGGAGGATGTCGTCACAGGCTCTGCCAGGGAAAGAACACGGCGTGGTGGTATCTATTTATTATATGATCTAAGGGTGCAAAACATTTATCAAGCACACGACCGTAGGCAACCACTTTTATACTCGTTATAGAATAAATTGCTCATTATTATCTTATTTATCTAAAAATACTCATTGAACAAAAACTAGCGACCTCAGTTGACATAACCTATAATTTAATAATGACAGGGTGTGCTTAAGCCAATTTTCTGGTACATTCTTTGCGAAAAACATATTTTTTTAACGTTAATAACTCCCTAAGTATATTTTTTAAACTTTTACTTTGCTTGTTATATATGTTTCATGAAGAGATAATAGTGAAACACACAGTAAACTTTGTCCGCTCATTTCCCAAATCAAGGTCACAATTCGAAAATCGATATTTTTTGTAGCGCTGTTGTGTAGAATTTCATTCAAATTAAATTTTTACTATATTTTACTAAAATCCTTGCGAAGTTACTGAATTTTATAACAAATGCATGAATTCTTAAGAACCGTAACATAAAAAACTCTTGCATGATGTTTGTTTCTTCTGAGGGCAAAGTTATAACCCAATCTAAAGATATTATACAAGTTTTAGACTGGTTTGAAAAACTGTGCATGTACATAAATATGAACAAATTTTTCGACGATGCTATCACTTTACGTACTGTCGTGCGTCCAAACAAACCTCTAATTAAGGTTCTTATAAAAATTGTATTTATTAACTACCTAAGGTCATGTCCAAAGTTTCAAGCTGCCACGTTCTAAAATGTGAATTTGTTGCATGCCTGTCACATAAATCAGCTTTCC